GTCCAAATCGTCGGGCTAGCTATGCCACTGCTAGCAACTGCACATGCAGAAATGCCATACATGATAATATAATGGTTTTTTGAGGATACTAATTTGAAAATTCAATAACAGATATCAGTTTGACTATTCCAAATGTTACTTTTAAATTAATAGTCCACTACACAGTACACATCAACTAGAAATCACTATCAATGACAAGTAAAATTGTCTGGAGTTGTCTTGTTGGCAGAGCAAATACTAAAGTATGCTGCATAGGCACATGATTTGGGCTGATACGTTTGTAATATTAGTTCAATTTACTTCATTTTTTTTGTTTCGCATCAATACGTTCGCACCGACGTCAGATCTCTTTAATAATAGCGGCCTTAGCAATTCTACTCGAGCTGTTCTCCATCCGTCGTCCTAAAAACACTGGGTATTTTATCGTTCATTGTGTCTACCGCAACTCTCACGACCAAAAGCAGAGCAGTTTTTCCCGGACAAACTCCAAAAGTATCGTCTTTAAGTATGAAAATCCTCGAACACTTGAGAATGGAATATGTGAATATACACTTAGCATAGCGTGGTTATATCTCAAAACCAATCAACAATACCTTTAAAACTTGTGAATACGATCAGATCATTCCGAACTTCGAAGTATAAATCAAATCCGTGATCAAATCAGGCGTATACAATCGAAAATACGTAAATTTATACATCACAATTAAAGCCATGTCAACAATATATTTTCTATTACACTCCTGCGAAGCGTCCCCCTATCTCGTCACGTGACATGAATAAAATGAGAACAATAACATATTTGTCACGTGGTCCAGCTAGCCTAACCATCCTCCTTCTATTAGCAGGTGCTCAGAGTGAGGAACCTCGTCTTCAGTGTGAGGAATCTTCTCCTCAGATTGAAGGACCTTGTTCTCAGAGTGAAGAATCTTGTTTTCAGAGTGAAGAACCTTGTCCTCAGAGTGAAGAACCTTGTCCTCAGAGTTTGAATAACCTTGTCCTCAAAGTGAGGAACCTTGTCCTCAGTGTGAGGAACCTTGTCCTCAGATTGAAGGACCTTGTCCTCAGAGTGAGGAACCTTTTCCTCAGAGTGAGGAACCTTGTCCTCAGAGTCAGGAACTTTATCCCCAGAATGAAGAACCTTGTCCTCTGAGTGAAGAACCTTGTCCTCAGAGTGAATAACCTTGTCCTCAGAGTGAAGAACCTTCTCCTCAGAGTGAAGAACCTTGTCCTCAGGGTGAAGAACCTTGTCCTCAAAGTAAGGAACCGTGTCCTCAGTGTGAGGAATCTTGTTGTCAGAGTGAAGAACTTTGTCCTCAGACTGAAGAACCTTGTCCTCAGAGTAAAGAACCTTCTCCTCAGTGTGAGGAACCTTGTCCTCAGAGTGAGGAACCGTGTCCGCAGAGTGAAGAACCTTGTTCTCAGAGTAAAGAACCTTGTCCTCAGAGTGAATAACCTTGTTTTCAAAGTGAGGAGCCTTGTCCTCAGAGTGAGATACCTTGTCCTCAGAATGAGGAACCTTGTCCTCAAAGTGAAGAACCTTCTCCTCAGGGTGAGGAACCTTGTCTTCAGAGTGAAAATCCTTGTCCTCATAGGGAAGAACCTTGTCCTCAGAGTGCAGAACCTTGTCCTCAGACTGAATAACCTTGTCCTCAAAGTGAAGAACCTTGTCCTCAAAGTGAGGAACCTTGTCCTCAGACTGAGAAACCTTGTCCTCAGGGTGGGGAACCTTGTCCTCAGAGTGAAGAGCCTTGTCCTCAGTGTGAGGAACCTTGTCTTCAGATTGAGAAACCGTGTCCTGAGAGTGGGGAACCTTGTCCTCAGAGAGAAGATCCTTGTCCTCAGAGTGAAGAACTTTTTCCTGAGAGTGAGGGCATTGTCCTCAGTGTCAGCAACTTTGTCCTCAGTGTGACGAACCTTGTCCTCAAAGTGACGAACCTTGTGCTCATAGTGAAGAAACTCGTCCTCAGAGTCAGTAACCTTGTCCTCAGTATCAGCAACTTTGTCCTCAGTGCGAGGAACCTTGTCCTCAAAGTGAGGATCTTTGTGGTCAGAGTGAAGAACCTTGTCCTCAGAGTGAGGAACGTTACCTTGTCCTCACTGTCAGGAACTTTGTCCTCAGTTCAGGAACTATGTCCTCAGAGTGAAGAACCTTGTCCTCAAAATGACAAACCTTGTCCTAAAAGTGAGGAACCTTTTCCTGAAAGTGAGGAACCTTATCCTGAGGGTGAGGAAACTTGTTCTCAGAGTGAAGAACCTTGTCCTCAAAGTGCGGAACCTTGTCCTCAGACTGAGAAACCTTGTCCTCAGGGTGGGGAACCTTGTCCTCAGAGTGAAGAGCCTTGTCCTCAGTGTGAGGAACCTTGCCTTCCGATTGAGAAACCTTGTCCTCAAAGTGGGGAACCTTGTCCTCAGAGTGAAGATCCTTGTCCTCAGAGTGAAGAACTCTTTCCTGAGATTGAGGGCATTGTCCTCAGCGTCAGCAACTTTGTCCTCAGTGTACTAACCTTGTCCTCAAAGCGACGAACCTTGTGCTCAGAGTGAAGAAACTCGTCCTCAGAGTCAGTAACCTTGTCCTCAGGTAGATTAATGCATGGGTCAAGTTTCAGTCAAGGTCGAAATTTGGGTATACCAAGTTGGGCGCGATTTTTAAAAAGAAAACAAGGTTAGGTTTAACCTGTCATGGTTTAATGTTATAGATATTGACCTGGTGAATTTTTTACCGATTTTTATTTTATTATTCGTTCTTCACATGAGCAGTTATATAGCCTTAAACGTCAATAAACACAGGTTAAATGGAAACCCATTGTGCGGACTCATAAAATCGCTTTCCTCAATTGCAATTTTGGTTTAATGTTGTACATAGCATCTTGCACTAAACGAATCTAACTGGCTTTGTTGTCTTGATGGCTAAACAAAATAAATATTTCGCGTTTTATGTCAATTTATTCCGTAACTGTGCGTATTAATTTAAATATATTTTGAATATTCGTGTTAATGTAGGTATATCAAGTTATGACTATCAAGTTTGTGTTGTGCTTCATCTATTTAGCATAAAATCATCGTTGCTTATGTATTGTAACCTTGTCCGCAAACGGGCGAAAGTCATAGTTTGTATCAGATATAGAAAGAAAGCTATCGCCATTAAGCCGTATTATTTACGACCAGCGGGAAATCGCATTGTCTATTATAATTAGTTGCGCAAGACTGCAAGTCCATACAAGTGCGATGAATACCCATGATTTCATGTTTATATTGTACAGAAACATCGTCTTGATTATTTCTTATCAATAAAATATGAAACTACAACTTTATAATATGAAATACAACATGAAATTGTAACAATGGTTGCATTTGTAGTGACTTGCGTCTTGCGCAACTAATTATAATCGACAATGCGGTCTCCCGCTGGTCGTAAATAATACGGCTTAATGGCGATAGCTTTCTTTCCATATTTGATACAAACTATGACTTTCGCCCGTTTTGCGGACAAGGTTACAATACATAAGCAACGATAATTTTATGCTAAATAGATGAAGCACAACACAAACTTGATAGTCATAACTTGATATACCTACATTAACACGAATATTCAAAATATATTTAAATAAATACGCCGAGTTACTGAATAAATTGACACAAAACGCAAAATATTTACTTTGTTTAGCCATCTAGACAACAAAGCAAGTTAGTTTCGTTTAGTACAAGATGCTATGTACTGTTTTAAAGCAAAATGCCAATTAGGGAAAGCGATTTTATGAGTCCGCACAATGGGTTTCCATTTAACCTGTGTTTATTGATGTTTAAGGCTATATAACAGTTCATGTGAAGAACGAATAATAAAATAAAAATCGATAAAAATTCACCGGGTCAAAATCTATAACATTAAACCATGAAACGTTAAACTTAACCTTGTTTTCTTTTTAAAAATTGCGCCCAACTTTATATACCAATATTTCGAACTCTGCTGAAACTTGACCCATGCATTAATCTATCTGAGTCCACAGTATCAGCAACTTTGTCCTCTGTGCGAGGAACCTTGTCCACCAAGTGAGGAGCTTTGTAGTCAAAGTGAGGAACCTTGTCCTCAGAGTGAGGAACTTTGTCCTCACTGTCAGGAACTTTGTCCTCAGTTCAGGAACTTTGTCCTCAGAGTGAAGAACCTTGTCCTCAAAATGACAAACCTTGTCCTAAAAGTGAGGAACCTTCTCCTGAAAGTGAGGAACCTTGTCCTGAGGGTGAGGAAACTTGTTCTCAGAGTGAAGAACCTTGTCCTCAGTGTGAGGAACCTTGTGCTCAGAGTGAAGAACCTTGTCCTCAGGGTGAGGAACCTTGTCCTCACAATGACGAACCTTGTCCTCAGCGTGAAGAACCTTGTCCTCAGAGTGAAGAACCTTGTCCTCAGAGTAAAGAACCTTGTCCTCAGAGTGAAGAACCTTGTCCTCAGAGTGAAGGGCATTTCCCTCAAGGTGAGGTACCTTGTCCGCAGTGTGAGGAACCTTGTCCTTTGTGTGAAGAACCTTGTCCTGAGAGTGAAGAGCCATGTTCTCAGAGTAAAGAACATTGTCCTCAGACTGAATAAACTTGTCCTCAAAGTGAGGGACCTTCTCCTCAGAGTGAGATAGCTTGTCCTCAGAGTGAGGAACCTCGTCGTCAGTGTGAGGAATCTTACCCTCAGATTAAAGAACCTTGTCCTCAGAGTGATGAATCTTGTTTGCAGAGTGAAGAACCTTGTCCTCAGAGTGAAGAACCTTGTCCTCAGTGTGAAGAACCTTGCCCTGAGAGTGAAGAGCCTTGTCCTCAGTGTGAGGAACATTGCCTTCAGATTGAGAAACCTTGTCCTCAGAGTGGGGAACCTTGTCATCAGAGTGAAGATCCTTGTCCTCAGAGTGAAGAACTTTTTCCTGAGAGTGAGGGCATTGTCCTCAGTGTCAGCAACTTTGTCCTCAGTGTGACGAACCTTGTCCTCAAAGAGACGAACCTCGTGCTCAGAGTGAAGAAACTCGTCCTAAGAGTCAGTAACCTTGTCCTCAGCATCAGCAACTTTGTCCTCAGTGCGCGGAACCTTGTCCTCAAAGTGAGAAGCTTTGTGGTCAGAGTGAGGAACCTTGTCCTCAGAGTGGGGAACTTTGTCCTCACTGTCAGGAACTTTGTGCTCAGTCCAGGAACTTTGTCCTCAGAGTGAAGGACCTTGTCCTCAAAATGACAAACCTTGTCCTAAAAGTGAGGAACCTTCTCCTGAAAGTGAGGAACCTTGCCCTGAGGTTGTGGAAACTTGTTCTCAGAGTGAAGAACCTTGTCCTCAGTGTGAGGAACCTTGTGCTCAGAGTGAAGAACCTTGTCCTCAGAGTGAGGAACCTTGTCCTCAGAATGAAGAACCTTGTCCTCAGGGTGAAGAACTTTGTCCTCAGAGTGAAGGACATTTCCCTCAAGGTGAGGGACCTTGTCCGCAATGTGAGGAAGCTTTTCCTTGGTGTGAAGAACCTTGTCCTCAGACTGAATAAACTTGTCCTCAAAGTGAGGCACCTTGTCCTCAGAGTGAGATAGCTTGTCCTCAGAGTGAGGAACCTCGTCTTCAGTGTGAGGAATCTTCTCCTCAGATTGAACAACCTTGTCCTCAGAGTGAAGAATCTTGTTTTCAGAGTGAAGAACCTTGTCTTCAGAGTGAAGAACCTTGTCCTCAGGGTGAAGAACCTTGTCCTCAGAGTTTGAATAACCTTGTCCTCAAAGTGAGGAACCTTGTCCTCAGTGTGAGGAACCTTGTCCTCAGATTGAAGGACCTTGTCCTCAGAGTGAGGAACCTTTTCCTCAGAGTGAGGAACCTTGTCCTCAGAGTCAGGAACATTATCCCCGGAATGAAGAACCTTGTACTCTGAGTGAATAACCTTGTCCTCAGAGTGAAGAACCTTCTCCTCAGAGTGAAGAACCTTTTCCTCAGGGTGACGAACCTTGTCCTCCAGCTCCAAGTAAGGAACCGTGTCCTCAGTGTGAGGAACCTTGTCGTCAGAGTGAAGAACTTTGTCCTCAGACTGAAGAATCTTGTCCTCAGAGTAAAGAACCTTCTCCTCAGTGTGAGGAACCTTGTCCTCAGATTGTAGAACCTTGTCCTCAGAGTGAGGAACCTTGTCCTCAGTGTGAGGAACCTTGTCCTCAGAGTGAGGAACCTTGTCCGCAGAGTGAAGAACCTTGTCCTCAGAGTGAAGAACTTTGTCCGCAGAGTGAAGAAGCTTGTCCTCAAAGTGAGGAACCTTGTCGACGCTGTGAGGAACCTTGTCCTCAACGTGAAGAACCCTATCCTCAGAGTGAAAAACCTTGTCCTCAGAGTGAAGAACCTTGTCCTCAGAGTGAAGAACCTTCTCCTAAGAATGAAGAACCTTGTCCTCAGGGTGAAGAACCTTGTCCTCAAAGTGAGGAACCTTGTCCACAGTGTGAGCAACGTTGTCCTCAGCTTGGAGAACCTTGTCCTCACAGTGAAGATCCTTGCTCTCAGAGTGAAGGATCTTGTCCTCAGAGTTTAAATAACCTTGTCCTCAAAGTGAGGGACCTTGTGCACGGTGTGAGGTACCTTGTCCTCAGATTGAAGAACCTTGTCCTCAGTGTGAGGAACCTTGTCCTCATAGTGAAGAACGCAACCTCGTCCCCAGGGCCTTTTAAGGAAGGAGGCGAAGGGCAGCAAAGGCCCTGGTAAAGGCTGGTGAAATAATCCACAGATTGTGGATTATTTTGTACGTGATATATCGGAGCAAATAGTATACAGGGGGGTGCGATCGCGGATCGCTTTAGCTACAATATATTCGTCAATATTGCATAAACACCCAAATCGACAAATAAAGAACAAAAATCTATTTTAAAATGAAAAAATCTGTTAAAGTTCTTCCAAAAATATTGAATAAATTTGAAATTGTCTTCAAATTAGCTCTGAGAACCTTGGTTGATTTGTAAAGGAGATATATTAAATAGACAAAGCAACAGTGCAAAACGAATGGATCGATAGAAGCATTTATGCTATGAATTTAATACTGTCGCAAGGAAATTGCTGCCTCGAGTGTGAAACAGATATGTAAAATCACTTTAATTTAATAATATGGACTCCATGATCATCAAAACATTTAATAGTTATTGTTGCTACAGTAGATCTTTCTTGCAAATGTCAATATCATACAGTATATTTATTAAACAGTTAAAGGGTCAGTACAAGACCCAAAGAATGTTTGAAAAACAAGGAATGTGAACATCGTATGCACTTGGAATTTAAATGCTTATGTTAATAGCCATATGCCCCGAGTATAACCTGGTTGACCTCCGTGGTTAAATTAACATTTCCTGAATTTAATTGAGTTGAAATATTTTATTTGATTTTCATTCTTATCCCAAGAACATTGTGAACACACATATAGTGCTTTGGGTTTAGATTTCAAAGGTCAAGCTTCAAAACAATTGTTGTGATCTTAATGATCAGGCATTCCCAAACAATTACATGCATGAGGGTCAAATCGGACAGAAAGCCTCCATATGCTTTATCTGCAAGCTGAATAATATAATGAGATGGAATTAATTTCCTCATACTATTAACAAGCTCTTGTTTTTGTTTGTAATCAATTACACAAATTACTTCCCAGAACATTATTTAAGGAGATTATTTGACAAGTCAGCAGGTACATTTTTCCTGAGCCACAATTGGGGCAATTCAGTGTCACTCATCACAACAGGTGCTCAAAATCACTCACAACATACAACAGGCAGTTCAGCATCACTCACCACAATTGACTGTTCAATACTGTGTGCCTCAGTAGGCAAATCAATAATCAATATTTTGCTCAGATCAACAACAAATATCAAAATCGACCTCATTCTCAAAACATGATACAATAACAAGGGGTCTCTTATGGACAAATACAAGACACCGGCCTGATGTCAAATGTATCAAGTGACAAGATTATTCATCTCTTTTAATTTAAATACATTTTGCCGCCTTGTAATAAAGTACTATTTGTTGTTGGTGACCATCAGTTGAGCAATTTAAAACATTTGCAGTGTATGCTTTATCAGACCTAAAGATACTTGGCTTCACCTCGTATCTTTATACCTGATACAACTATAGTACTGTACATAAAATAATAACCATGATATTTAGCCTGAATATTATTATATATGTATGAAGGATATTATACATATATTCTTGATGCTCAACATTATCCGATAATCATTTAACATGAAATCCGATAATCATTTAGCTATTGAGAATTGTGTGAATTTCTGCATTACTTATTGTTACAGACTGTTCTGACCTCTTGCAATTATGGTTATTAAC